GAGAGAGAGAGAGAGAGAGAGAGAGAGAGAGAGAGAGAGAGAGAGAGAGAGAGAGAGAGAGACTGACTGACTATGCCTAAGGCCAAAACACAATATATTTGTGATTACGTGCCTGCACGGGCCTATCCTATTCACCAGGGCAAGAACGGAGCTGGCGTTGACCTTTGGGGAAAAAAAAAAAGAAAAAGGTTATATTCGAATACAGCAATGTTCTCTTCGCGAAATTCAAAGGTAACGCATGTGCAAAATTCAAATATACCGCATGTGCGTATTATTCGAATAGAACGCATATGAGTTATATTCGAAGTGCCCTCGTATTCGAAGAAAAGGGTTCCGAAAACCGTGTTTTTTGGAAAACTCAAATACAACGCATATGCATTATGTTCGGGGGAAGACTGTGCGCACAACGTTAGGTGGCGGCCCAGCCTGTTGCCTTCCTGCCACTAGCGCGGTTCCTTGTCTCTATGCAACAGGCGAAGGTGGGGCCGGTGTCGCACTGGGACTCCAAGCGGATGATCCAGGGGATGTCCATAATGGTGCTCTTCCGTTCTGGTCGGGCTTGGGGAAAGGGTAAACCCCGAAGGGAGACAAAAAAGGTTGGTGGGCATGCAATAGCACCCCCTCCCGGTCCACAGCACCCCAATTTTGGCGTGCCGGGAAGACCCGTAAGGCTGAGGGGACACGCAAGCGGCCCCAAGGCACCCTCGTACGAGCATTTTGAGGTCACAGCCTAAGGGTTGGGGTTCTATTTACTACCAAGGCCACCTATCTGAGGCATACAGGCCCGACCCCTCCACGCTTGTCAAGGGCCGACTTTGCAATTGGCCAAAACGGGGTAAACGGAAGAAGAAGGGGGTCCATGCAGAGATGGGACATCAACCGGCGGGACCACTGTGCGGGCAGTCGGCACCAGTGGTCGGTACCGGCGGAACCATCGCTTGATCGGCGTTTCCGCCTACCCGCTGTTTGAGGCCCGCTGTGGTCCGCCCACAGCATAGCGCGGGGTTCGACGCGGGGGCAACGAGGGGGGCCTAGCAGCTGTAGTAGGTCATAGTGGTGGTGGCTGTTTAGTAACGGAGGGCATCCGCCATCCCCGCCGGAGCATCTCGTCATCGTTCCTCTTTTTCCTCCCTCCTCCCTCCTTCGGAGTTCTGTGTTCTTCGGTTTCTGTCCTCCCATTTTGGTGTAAACACGGAACAGATACATACAGGAACAAAGAAGCTGGTGAGAGGGCCAGCTTGGTCAAAATGGCGCGCTATGATAGGGCCATCACGGTCTTTTCGCCGGACGGTCACCTGTTCCAAGTGGAGTATGCTCTGGAAGCAGTTCGGAAAGGGACAACGGCTGTAGGCGTGAGGGGCAAGGACAACATAGTGCTAGGTGTGGAGAAGAAATCAACAGCCAGATTGCAGGATGCCAGGTGAGAGAGTGACGTGGTATTTTGACACCACTACACGCACATGGCACGCAGAGCTCAGAGCTCAGAGAGAGAGAGAGAGAGAGAGAGAGAGAGAGAGAGAGAGAGAGAGAGAGAGAGAGAGAGCTCAGTGCTAGGCATGGAGAAGGAATCAGCAGCTGCCGGGTGGACTTCTGACACGCATACACACACATGGAAAGCGCACACAGAGAGAGAGAGAGAGAGAGAGAGAGAGAGAGAGAGAGAGAGAGAGAGAGAGAGAGAGAGAGAGAGAGAGAGAGAGAGAGAGAGAGA